AGGGGAAAGAAGTGCTGCATAAACTCACCATTGGTTCATCTGCTTAAATATATAACTGATTTATCTTAGCATCATAGAATTCGAAATAATGGCCTTGCAGTATTTTTAAAAGCAACTGTTACAAATCCATCTACAAAGTTCTAAGTTAAGTTATTGGTTCTCTAATTTGATATGAAGAAGACCATTTCCCATCTAATCCTATAGAAAAGTTCACTAAGAACTTTATGAGAATTTGTAATCTTTTTGGTTTCTTCATCTTAGTAAATGCATGATAAAGAAATCTAATCAAATGTGGCACTAGAATGGTGTCAAGTTAAATTCCTTATTTCCTTACTAGTCCTGAGCACCAATTTGCTTCAGATGTGATAAATACAATTGATAAACATTATATTTGACAGACACCTCAACACAGAGCACACGTTAGATGACAGGTCCACTGCGCAAGCAAGAGTACAGATGCAAGTGGTATCTCAACTGGAACTTCAATTGCAGAAGGAGAGAGACCGACTGCAAGCCATGATGCATCATTTGCACATGTCCAAACAGCAAGCTTCTCCTGAACCTCCAAAATCAGAACCTACGGTGAGCCACTAAATACAAGTACTTTGAACCATGACTATAAGGCGACTGAAAGAAAAGTGCATTCTAGAAATGATAAAATATTTACGTGCAGTTTCACAGGTTTTCATCATAGCAGGTAGCCAGACAGAACGAGTTCATGACATTTGAATCCCAATAGCCATGATCTGAGGAGATGGCAGATACCGTGCTGTTCTGAATATGTTTTTAACTCCTGCTCTGCACAACTATATACACTGAAGCAAGAATTAATTGAACCCTTCTCCTTCCATTTCTTTATAATATGATTCAGAAATGCTCAGAATGAAAATACAGAGTGTATAAATTTCTTCCGTTTCCCAAAATATACCTTTGTGAAACTGGAGTTTTATGGTGACAGTGTCACAAAATTAAAATACAAGAATGGTCAGTATCATGTCAGTTCAAGTCTCTTGCATTTTTCATATAGAATATACTTTCAACATTGAATTCAGTAAAACTATTCACTTGTTATTATTACAATAAACAAAAATTCTAGAATTAGTTTCCTTTTTTGACTCATTTAGTTGCTACATATATACTCAGTGCAGACTGCTCATCTGTTTTAATTTTGTAATGTTTTCTCACATTTTGAATCTGAAATAGAATTAATTATTTGTATAAGATTGTATCAAATCTGTTTGTTGTAGATGTAACTGAATTACATTTTAACTTTCATGTATTTTACATAAGTGTATATACCATTACAGGTAGAAACGGGCAACCTAAATCCTTTACATCAGTCTTCAAATGGCTCATCATCACTATGGGGCCAGTCAGACCTCTTCCAGACTGGACCAAGTCTGACCAAACTGAGTTTGTCTTCAGTTCTCTTGAGCCAACCACCACCAAGCCTGGTGACATCTGCTGTAAGCCAAGTTGCACCAGTGTCCATGTCAGCTCTGGTCTCTGCTGTGCGGTCACCTGTGTTACAGCCACCGACACCCAACATAGGTGGACCAATTAGAAGGCGGATCAGTGACAAGTCTGCATTATCTCTTGCAGGAGGTGAGTGAAATTCTTTTATCACAAAAAATATGTTAAACATTTCATTTGTACTATAGGCATATACTCATATGTCTATTTATGTAAAAGAGGACTGTTAAGTAATGCTATCCCTGTAACAGGCCATGAAGGCCCATAGGGTTGTGGGGTCTTGAGGATCCCACATTATCTAGACAATCGGCTCACAGATGGTGGTTAGGTTGTTAGGCTTACGTGCCAGCCAGGCTTTATTCACCAGGAAAATTATTTAATTAATTCCTGATACTCATTTCTGTTAGAGGCTGAGTCAACCCCAGAGCCATAGTGCAGCTGGAAGGATTAGGTCAATTTAAAAGAATCCAGTGACTTCATTGGGACTTGAACCCGTGACCTTCCGGCTTGTAGCATAGCCCCTCGACCAACTACGCTACCGCGTGCCCCTAAAAGAGGACTGTTACATGTCGGAAATAAATGAAAAGGGAAAGAAACATTCAACACAGCTATTATTAGTAAAAGACCTCTTGGGACTGAAGTTTTAAAAACATCAGTTTTGGTTCTATATTTTCAAGAGGCTTGAAAGGTCTGCAGGGAATTTTATCTGATGTATTGTGTCAGGATGCAGTTCTGGAAATAACTTTAGATGGATAAGTAGATTATCACGACATCATCATAATCATAATAACAACAACAACAACAATAATAATAATAATAATTATTGTCATTTAAATGCTAAAGTAATAAGAAGATGGCCAGTTTTTAAGAGAGTATCCATTATTGATTTTAATTTGAAGATTTCCATAAAGTAAATGTATTGAAAAAACTTGATGAGTATCCTCATAAATAAATTTTCCATTTAGTTTAAATTTTATTGTATCCTACAGGCAGAAATGCTCTTCATTTATTTACACACTTTCAGTAATGTGAAGCTGGAATTAACTGAATACATGCTTCAGGAAACACCTAGTAAGAGTTTTATTCGGTTTCATATTGTCACATGGTGGTTATCTGTCACGCGACAAATAACTTCACGCCTTCTTGGATGTAGTGAATTTATTCCACTTACTCGTACATTTACACAATTTACCATTACACAATTACTACTATTGCTCTTGGCGAGTGCTAGACTTCTACTGCACTCGGCGACTTCATGATCCACACTCTGTCACTCAGCTCTCCGCGTAGCTCTGCAGCTTGCTTCTTGCCCCTATACCGCCTCTTCCATCCTTTGACTGGTTGCACAATGGCATCTTCCTTGGGGACTTCTTTTTGTGCCACCTCAGGTTTTGTTTCCACCGAGGTCTGCTGTTCTTCTAGATGTGCCTGCATTTCTTGGCAGGCTATCGTCTTTTCTTCTTCTTAACGAATCTTCTGTCGGTCAACTACATTCACTTGTTCTCTTGGATTTGACTCCACTGAATCTTGGCAGGATGCTGTCTCTTCCTGCCAGGCATCCATTTCCTCTAGCAGTCTTTCTTGGCTGGCTCTCCACTCCTCTCGGTCAGACTCCATTATGGCCAACAACTTAGCTTGGTTGGTTCTAATTTCCTCTAACAAGGCGTCTTATTTTTCTTGGCCAGCTCTGATTTCGTTCGGCAGGAATTCCATCATCTGCTGTGAATCCATTTTGTGGCAGTTATTAGTTGATGCACTTGTAAGTTCAGTTATTCGTTGAGGCATGTTCAAGTTTGTGACCAATTCTGACACCAGATTGTCACGTGTTGGGTATCTGTCACGCGACAAATAACTTCATGCCGTCTTGGATGTAGCAAATTCATTCCACTCGCTCATACATTTACACAATTCACCATTACACATTTACTACTATTGCTCCCGGCAAGTGCTAAACTTCAACTGAACTCGGCGACTTCACGATCCACACACTGTCACTCTGGATCAAACACTCTTACACATACTGCTCAGCCGGCTTCTTATACCGTTTCCTGTTGCCTGTGTCAACAGTGGTGTCCCATGTTACATCACGGCAGGGGTAAGGGGTGGAGAGTTGACTGGCCTGTTACTGTAGCAGTGGCAGCGCTGTTACATCACCACTGGCTGGGGAGGGGGTGTCCTGCATAGCGCAAATACGTCGCAATATTTTTCCTCACATTATATGTTACACAAAATATATCCAGAAATGGTTCATAGAAGTGTGTTGAAACATGATCTGTTGATTATACATAAAATTACATAATGGATTCTGCATAACTGTTATTGTGAATCTACTTCCGTTTGTCTTGCTACTGAGCCTGCATCCTTTACACAGTGAAAAACCAAACAGCTGCACCATGACTGACTGTTTTGCTTTCATCACATAATCTCTGTTGTTATTTAACCATTTTCTGCACTATGCAAATTAATTGTATTGTGACACTATAACACTATAAAATTCCTATGTTTAATATACATATTAAGATAAAAAACACTGTCATCATGTCTTTCTGTCCACTACTGGGAAATGGCGAAGGTTAATATAAAGGTTTAGCAGATATAACAACTTAGCTTGGACTTTGCCCTCTCCCTGTAGGAGCTTTTGAAGAAACTCCATTAAGGCGGCGAGTTGCAGACAGAGTGGCAGTAGATATTACTGAAGGTAATGACTGCATTAAATGTACAATAACAACTTGTGTCGTGTTGTTTGGATCTTGCTTCTGATGACATCCTCTCTTCTCTCTTTCTCTGCCTCTCTCTTCTGGCTGCTATAGGGCTGCCCTATATGCTGGAGCGGGCAGGACTTGATGTTCAGCAAGGTAATGTCTACATTGTACTTAGTCACTTTCAAAACCATGTTAATTCCTTGAAGGGCGAAGGCTCATTCTAGGGTTTGTGCACAGTGTAATGTTGTTAAAATGCTGTTTATTATTTCATTATCTTATTGTAGTAGAACTGTAAGTGAATAAAACTGTGTTATAGCACAACTCTTCAATTTTTGACTGATAATATATATATATAAATTTCATAATTAATATAAGCATTAAATTAGTATAATGTGTGATGTAGGTATTGTATTTGTGACTTCTCTCATGTTGAGCAATAGTTATTCCATGCATTAGTGGTATACCTTAATAGAATTCCCTGATGTGCAACATTCAGTAATTGATAATTTATTTTATCTGCCTAGTTTTCCATTTCCATGACCATGACCATCCTCCACAAATATCTCCTCATCACAACCTAATGCAAAAATAATCTTTTTTTCTCTTCACATAACATCAGATGTCTTACAGTCTTATTAAGGTGATAAGCAAAATTCTGACCAACCTTCTACGATGTAGACAATGAGTATTTTTAGATGTGAAAATCTGAATTTTTATCACTGACACTTAGGTTGACCCTGTAATATTGAGTGGTATACTTCATGTTTTTTTTTATTGCTAGTGTGGTGGGACTAAGTCCCTTACACTGCGGCCACTTCTGGCCTATTGTACCAGCCCCAGATGATAGGTGAGGATGACTGTGGAGCAATTGGTGGAATGAAGTTTGGCAGGGGAAACTGAAGTACTCGGTGAAAACCTGCCCCAGCGCCACTTTGTCCACCACAAATCCCACTTGACCAGACCTGGGATTGAACCCCCAGGCCGCCACCGTGGGAAGCCAGCGACTAACCGCTTGAGCTATGGTGCGGCTTATACTGCATGTTAATAATGATATATTTGTGTCAGATTTCACAGGAATAAAATCACGTTTTGTTTAGAAGCTGCACACATTTATAGGGAATGCTCATTTATGATGACAAAGTAAATTTAACTGACCCAAAGACATGACTTATACCCTCTGACTGAGTGTTGAAGACAGATGGTAGCTTCCCCCACTTAACTGTTAGCATGCAGGCTGCCTCTACTGCTCTGCCCCACTCTTCACACTGTCTCCCTTCAGGATTCACTCAGACAGTATCTGATGACTGTGCAGTGAAGGGATGATGTAAGGTAAGAGGTCAAAGGAACTAAGATCAATGCAAGTGCCATCTTAAAAAGGTTCGAAAACTTTTAATTACATTGTATTTATTAGTGAGTTATTTCAATTTGGTGAACTGATTTAAGCACTTGAATACTGTCAGTATTGCTACCAATGTGTATCATATGCAGGACTTGAGAAAGGTAAGTTTTGTAACAGTTTTTATTGTCTTAATTTTTAATATATTGAGTTCTGTGGAAGGCTAATTACTGCAGCAGTCACCAAATGTTTATTTCTACAGTGATATATAAGTCCATTAGGGTGTGTCATGTAATCCAAAATTTGAAAACCTTTCCTATATTATGAATTTGTGTTATATTTATTTGAATATGATGTTAATATTGCTCGCATTATCATTATTATTTTGTAGTGCTGTAGTCCTGCAATGCAATATTTATTCATTTCAAAATGTCACTTGCATCTAGTGAAGATTGGATGCTATTATATCTGGAAGTAGTTTGAAATTATAGTTCAGCTTGGTGCTTTTGTAACACAGTATGTCTGTCTATTTATTTACATCACCTTAACCCTAACTTATGATGTTTTTAATTTATTGTACTGTTTCTTGAAAACCTGTTGCAAACCACAAATATTTCAGCAATTATATTTTAACCATTTCCAGACATCATATAGACTGATTAACCATTCTAATGTGGAAATGTCCTTCCAGATAGGATTTTAGAAGAGGCTGTGGCTGCATTCACTCTTTCATTCCTCAGTTCATCTCGTATTATGCATGACATTGATACCCTCTCTCATTGAAACAACATTCTTAAATAATTTGTAAACATCAACCATAGAGCATGCTTTAATTATGGGACTTTTGGAACGATATGATTTCATATAAATGAAAGAGATGACCACCTCAATTAGACGATTTTATTCTTAGCCTTGTCATAAATAAATATTGTATTTTTTTCTGTTATGTTTACTTTTAATTTACTTTTCGACTAGCTATACACATTACACTATAAGTCAAATATTTTTTTGGATAAATAAATATGTTAGCTAGGTTTTGTGATAAAACTGTAATTTATGAAGAAAACTGAAATACACCATCCTGCTGTCTTACAATAATTCTCCAAATTACATTTTAAAATTTGCTCAAGTAAAAATGGGAAATATTGTTTGCATAACCGAGAATGTAAATGGGTGTTACTTTATGATATTTAATTATGTAAGTGACATTCATACTGGCATACACTATCTCCTAAAACCTGATTGTTACCAATTCTTGTAAATTTCTTAAAGGCACTAGTCTCAAGAGCCCATAATAAAATTGGCTGACCTTCAACTGGCACATAATCTAATACAACGTTTTACAGGTTTCACAGGCTCATTGCTTTTTTCAACCAATACAAACAGTCATTGATGCTCTTTTCATTGTTGTTATCATATTGGGTATAGTACTATGCAAAAGAATCAATCAAAATTCAGTCAAATTGCAATTTAGAAAGTTACAAATTTCCTGTATGTCTAGTGACAAAAATTGAGATGTAAAAATATTTTCACTTGATGGAGTGACTATAGATAGGTACACACATTGGTGTCCACAGTCATGTCTTCAGTGCTGTTGCTTGGTAGTGACTTCCAACAGTGGATATTCCATTTCATCTGGGTTCCCTAACAGTCCCCGACCTCAGCTACAAGATTCTAACAACAGTGGCTCACAATGACTGAACCTCAACAGTTCTCTAACTTCAATAGCTAACTGGTCCTGCTTGTAAGATCTCAGCACAGATCATATAGAAAACATTGCTCCTTCATTGCAATGCAATTGTTTCTTAGCGATGCCATGACATATTTCATTGTGCTTGAGTAGCCATCAGCATGGACTGTGCAGAAAACACCATTCCTCTGTTGTTATTTACGGTCCACTGCCAGTAATGATCATCTGTTGTGACTCCAAAATTCTTGCTTTGAATGAATATTGAGGTTTCCGGTTCTGAAAGTTCTGTCTTCTGGGATATCATGCCTGACCACGTGGCATTATATCCCAGAAGATAAAATTCTTCAAGTAAAAATTCGTTTTAACTTTTATTTTCCTCATAATCAGTTCATATTTCACTGCATTATATGGTAAATTGTTTGTTGTCTTCGCAAGAGTTTTTACCAAGTGTTACTTTTGGGTGGGGATGGGGCCATCTTCCAAAATAGTGTCTACTCATGTTCCCTTATTCCATATATTGTCAGTGTTATGAGTTTAGAATCTTTTTTGTGGCTGATAATTATCAGGAAACTCTGGCTGTTAATTGTCATTGCCACGGTTAGGAACTCATGGGCTATACATCAGCTCCATCTTCATGGTTTGGTGTTTAGTTATCCACAGGGACAACTGTACCTCCCTTTTTATTTATTTTAAAACCTTTATCTTTCTTTGAAACCTATAATTTTCCATCCAAGGAACTGCATATATTTCAATATTATTGAGCCAAATTATTATTTTCATACAGTTTTCTGTATTACTGGTTGTGTTTCAATTTTAAATGTCCTCATTATTAACATTTAATATGCTTTGGACTGGATAGAATTGAATTCTTCAGAAGCAGTAGAATAATTTCTTCTTATTACCATCAAAGGAAACAGTGAGACAGGCACAAACCTCATATTATTCTGAGGTCTAATACCCGGACCCCCGCCCAAGGAGTCCTACCGAATATCTAAGATCTAGTAAACCGAAGTGAAACGGACAGTTTCATGGAGGTAGGCCTAGGCCCAAATGAGGGCTGTAGTGCCAAAAGGAAAAAAAAATACATGGACCATTCCCTCCACCTTAAGATTATGGTACATAGCAATTTCCCTTGCTAATGTTATGCAAAAGAGTACATATTCACATGTTTATGTTGTATGTGTGTGTATGGTAATTGTTGCATTATGTCAGGTGGGGCTCAGTTCTGCGTATAAAATTTTTCATGGCCTAAGAAGTGTTATTTTCTGGGGTTTGACGCCATTTAGTCTGGTACAAGTTCACTGATGTTTTGGAGAAACATACTGTAGGTGACCAGCAAAAAGTAAACTGCTTCCTGCTGGTCACTGGTTCTTATTTGGCTTACTATTCAACTCTGCAGATGGAGGCAATATGTTCCTCTGAAACATCAGTGAACTTCTGGTTTACACAGAGCAACATCCTAGAAGACAGGAGGCTTATTAGTCACCACCATGTGGACCTAAAATCCTACATTGTCACAATTTATTTTCTGTGATATGTTGAATTGTTTTTTAATATAAACAGGGGAATTATTTTGAAAGGAATGATGTGAAATGTGTGCAACATAAGAAGAGTTAAGTAAAGAGACAAGGGATTTGAAGATGGTGGGTTTTATTACTCTTATATTCCATATGTATTATTCTTAAATTTCACTTAAAATGAATTTTCTTTCCATTCCAGAAATTCAGAGGAATCGTGAGTTCTACAAGAATGCAGATGTGAGGCCTCCCTTTACCTATGCATCTTTAATACGGCAGGTATGGCTGCAGATTTTGATAATTACACTTATTTAATATCTGTTATCTGCAGATTAAATAAAAGGGCAATTCTTCTAGCTTTCAGTTAAAAATCTTCTGTCTTAATGTCTGCTGTTTAAAATTGTAAAGATTATACTATACAAAACTGTACAAAACCATGGAAACACTTTCTGCTTTCTTTGTTGTTTTCTTTTTATGTGAAATCTGGTCTTGGGGAAATTATTTTAATCAAAAAGGGGAACTCACTGGAAATTAGAAGCGATTGCATTATAATGATGATTCAATTTGTACTTTTCACCAAATGTTAATGTAACGAACAAATGAAGGAAGATGAGATGACCAGGACATGTAGCTTACATGGGGGGGGGGCGATGTGAAGTGCAAACCTAACCTTTTATATCTGAAGTTAATAAAAATTCTTTTCAGGATATCTGCCGTATGAGCTGTTAAAAATAACATTGTTTCAGGGACCATGTCTCTCTCTATCATTACAATCTGATGGGACAGTTTGGATCCAGTGTCACATCAGATCCTGTTGAATGTGACACAGATAATCCCTGAAATATTAGTAATTTTTAACCAATTGACAGAGCTGATAGCTTAACAATAATTTATTAAACTTTCCTAGTCAGACATTCAATAGAGAAAAGACCTCTTGGATGATAAGTAAGTAAAAAAAAAAAGTAAAGCTATCCCTGTACCAGGCCGTGACGGCCCACAGGGTTGTGAGACATTGAGGTCCCACACTATCTAGACAATTGGCTCAAAGATGGCGGTAAGGTTGTCAGCCTTATGCGCCAGCCGCACTTTATTCCCCAGGAAAATTATTTAATTAATTCCCGGTACTCATTTTTGTTAGAGGCTGAGTAAACCCCAGGGCCTAGTGCGGCTGGAAGAATTAGGTCAACTGGAAAAAAATCCATTGACCTCATCAGGACTTGAACCCGCGACCTTCCGGCTTGTAGGCATGAATAAGAGGGTGGGAATACAATGGAACAGTACATCAGCTTTCACAGACTTCAAGAAAGCCCAAGATTCAGTTAGGAGGGAAGTACTGTACAGTATTCTCATACAGTTTGGCATATCAGTGAAACTGGTTAGGCTTAATACGAAGGTTGGAAGTTTAATAGTGGCAACTATTTATTTACAACTGATACAAAATAGATGCATGTTTCGAGGTTTTACTGTTTTTCAGTGTAGTCACCAGCATTGTGTACAACCTGTTGCCAGCGATGTGGAAGTCGTAGGATACCTTTAGCAGCGCCTGTTGTGTTGATAGTTCGAATGGAGCAGTCTGCTGCCTGAAGAATCTCTGGAACAGTTCTGAAGTGAATGCCATGAAGTGGTTCCTTCATCTTAGGGATCAAGTCGAAGTCACAAGGGCTTAAGTCCGGGGAGTATGGTGGGTGGTACAGCACTTCCCGGCCCCATCGATCGAACAAATCAATCATAACTTGCGCTGAATGCAGCCAAGCATTGTCCTGCAAAATGATGTGTGGGTTCTGCAGAAAGTGTCGCCGCTTCTTTCTGAAAGTTGGTCGCACATTGTGTTCCAAAAATGAACAGTAATACTGCGCATTGACTGTCTGCTGTCATTGGAACGGTATGTGTTGGGTTAGGATAACACCATCACAGTCGTACACGAGAATCACCATAACTTTCAAATTGCTGGGGTTCTGACAAACTTTTGATTTTCATGGTGACCTGTAATGACACCATTCTTTAAATTGGCGTTTCATTTGTGGCTCATACGATTTGGCCCATGTCTCATCCAGTGTAGTGATACGGTGTAAGAAAGCTTCTCCTTCGCACTCATAGTGCTCCAAGTGGTTACGAGCAGCATCATATCATAGCCATTTCTACATTTTTGTCAAATCGTGTGGAACCCATCTTGATACAATTTTTCTCATGCCCAGGCGTTCCTTCAGAATATGAAGCACAGTTGTGTACGCTAATCCAGTCTCTCGGGCCAGCTCATGAATCCTATGGTGTTGATCACTCTCCAGTAACATGGGAAGAGCATACATTTCTTCTTCACTGACATTAGGACAACCTGGCCGACACATGTCTGCCACATTTTGGCGTCCCTTGTTGAAGGCTTTTACCCACCTTGCCACTGTTCTGAAAGGCAATGCAGATTCCCTGCAAGCCTCTTGAAGACCTTGATGGCACTGTCGTGCTGTGCGGCCTCTGGCACATTCAATCTCTATCCAATTCCGTTGTTCCTGTTTCGAAAACATCATGACAACACTACATTAGACCGCCAGCTAACACGAGGCTATGTTCTTCTCGTCACTGCGCATGTGCGTGGTGTGGGAAGCCAGAGTCCATTTGCTGTGAGGTAAGGTAGGTATGTAACTAACGTGTGGTATAAGCGACATTATTTGGTTCCGTTGCATGGCGTCTCTACAGCAGTGTTGCCACTATTAAAGTTCCAACCCTCGTAAATTGTGTTAAATGAAACCAATAATAAAGCTCATGCAGGTAAGCATTTGTCTCATTCCTATCCTATTCAAAATGATCTGCAACAAGAAGATATTTTATCGCTGTCACTTTTCAACTTCGCTTTAGAATACACCATTAGAAAGGTCCAAGAAAACCAAGTGGACTGATATTAAATAAACGTGTCAGGCTATGGTCTTTGCTGATTATGTAAATCCATTTGGAAATAAGAAGCACAATAGATCACTGTAGGTCGTGGTGCAAGGGCCAAGAAGGCCCACCCCTTATACATTCATTCATATACATTAATCTGGTAATAAAGTAAAGTAAATAAATATAGGGAGATAACATAAATGCTTCTGCGAAAGCTAAGTACATGTTGATGTCTCATCACCAGAATGCAGCAAAAAATCACGACATAAAAGTAGCTACTGCACCCTCCAAAAGTGTAGCAAAGTTCAGATATTTTGCAATAACAGTAACAAATCAAAATTTGATTCATGTGAAAATAAAGAGCAAGTTGAATTTGGGTAATGCTTTCCACCATTCGGTTTAGAACCTTTCATTTTCTCATCCTCTGTCCAGAAACGTAAATATTAGAATATGCAAAACTATAATTTTGCCTCTAGTTTTGTATGGGTGTGAAATTAGGTCACTGACATATAGGGAGAGCATGCATGTGGTAGTGTAGTTGGTTGAGGCACTATGCTACAAGCCAGAAGGTTGCGGGTTCAAATCCTGATGAGGTCATTGGATTTTTTTTTTTCAAATTTGACCTAATCTTTCCAGCCGCACTATGGCCCTGGGGTCGACTCAGCCTCTAGCAGAAATGAGTACCAGGGGTATTCTTGGAATGTTCTTGGGGGTAAAGGGTGGCCGGCGCGTAGGGCTGACAACCTTGCCGTCATCTATGAGCTTGATTGTCTAGAAAATGTGGGAACCTCAACGTCTCACAACCTTATGGGCCTACAAGGCCTGTTACAGGGATAGCTTTACTTTCTTTTTACACTTAGGGTGTTTCAGAACAGGTTGATGAGAATGCTGGGATATTTTAATTATAGGTTAACCATTTAAAGAGTGATTATTTATTGTTGACAAATTCTAATTCTTTAGGCATTTGGGCAAAAGGATTTCAAGAATGTATTTAATGATGTGACTTGTTATAACGTTACTGTAGTAGCAATTATGAATGCCAAATGAAATTAAATGAAATGAAGAGGTATGAAATGATAGGAAGCTATAAAAAACTGTGTAAAGATGATCTCCATAACTTGTACTCTTCACCATTGGATTTATCAAGTCAAGAAAGCTGAAATGGACAGGAAAGGTTGCATGCATCAGGGAGACGAGGAATGCATACAGGTTTTTAATGGGAAAGCCAGAAGGAAAGATACCTCTAAGAAAACACAGACGTACATGGGAGGATAATATAAAAATTGATTTTAGAGGAACAGGATTAGATGGTATGGGCTGGACTCATCTGGCCTAGATTATAGGCCAGTGGAGGGCTGTTGTGAACATGGTAATGAAACTTTTGGTCACATAAAATATTGGGAAATTGAGTAACAGTGTGTTTGGTGGCTTCTTCAGAAGGACTCGGCTTCATGGATTTAGTTATAGAGAGACTTTTTTTTTACTTTGTTGACTGGTTCACGGTTCTGTGCTACATGGCCACTGGTGTGCTGCTTACTGTGAGGCGCATATGAATTTTCAGCATGCCTAATGGCCGTTAACATTTGGAATGAAGGAAGTTATTAACTTGTGGACTGCTTGATGGCAATGCGGTTGGTTCCTGCGTGAAAGTATGTTTATGGTTTTTCAGCAGCAGGCAGCAATTGTCAGCTTCAGTAGTCATTTGTTCTCAGTTACAGTTAGTGAACAGTGTGGTATATCATGGTGTCGTCTAGTGTAGAGAAACGTGTATTTCTTTGTGACACCTACATGAAATACGGATCTACTAGAAAGTGTCAGCAAAGATTTCATCGTAAATTCTGTGATGAAAGAATTCCCAGCAGACAAACAATTCACAGTTTGGTGAATAAACTTAGAACAACGGGTTCTTAATTACTAAGGAACAAAAACGTTAGCACCGAGTGCTTACTGAGGAGAAGTTATATGACACAGGGGCCAGACTTGAACATACACCTAGAAAAACACTGAAATATCTAGCCCTGAATTAAAAATGTTAAATCACACATCCATTTCCCAATGAAAATGAAACCTGGAAAATTAATACTTTGGTAGATGTTGAGATAATATTGTGATGTGTTGCGCTATGGATGAAGAAGACACTGAAATTTGTTTCCCTCCATCTGTAAACACAGGAGGACATAATGTTCCATGTTTGCGAGTTTTGCTTCCAACATGGCAGGAGAAATTTCAGAATTACAGGAATGGTATGAACCAGCAGGTAGGCACCAGGTCCATGTTGCAAAATACACAATGCTCTCAAATTTTGTTTTTGTTGGTAAATTGTTTAATGAAAAGTTATGTCTTCTGGGATATAACACCAAGTAGTTCACTGATGTCAACCAACATTTTGGAGGAACATATTGCCTCCATCTTCGGTATCAAAGAATAAGCCAAGCAAAAAACCAGAATGAAAGCTCTGCTCTGCTTTCTGCATGCTCTCATGCTGGTTTCTTGCCCGGCTTATTCTTTGAGTTTGAAGATGGAGGCAATATATTCCTCCAAAATTTCAGTTGGCAATCAACAGACTACATGGCATTATATTCCAGAAAATAAAACTCTTCATAACAACCACAGTGATAATCTCAAATCATACAATTATTTAATGATTTATAATTTAAATGCCAGTGTCCATAACACCTAATTCAGGAGAAGCAAATACAATCAATAATACACGTGTTTCTATTTCAGTCCATCATTGAATCACCAGACAAGCAGCTCACACTCAACGAGATTTACAACTGGTTCCAAAACACTTTCTGTTACTTTCGTCGAAATGCAGCGACATGGAAGGTATAGTGCCTTATGAAATGATATGAAGGGTTGGAGAAGGATTATGTATTTTCTTTTCAAATATGCTCTGCCTATCTGTGGTCCCATTTTGTTATTGCAAACATTCTTTATTTTGCTCATTTTATGTGTACAACACAGCAGAAATGCAGGCTGTGTTGTTTGATCAGTATTAACTGATGTAATACATAATGAAGGAAACTAGTGCCGACATCCACTTGCAGTCCCTATATATACACACTAGCTGATGGCATAGATGAAATTCTGCATTATTTGTGCTATATGTATGTGTCGTTACTGTGGTGTATATTCTGATTTTCCTGTCTGTGGTTAATTTTATGTTGTGTTGTTATTATTATTATTATTACATCAGTATGTATTCATGATCTCATTACTAACCTGAGGTATTTCTGTAATAATACAGCACTGTGTCTGCAAACAAAGAATTACTCATCATGTACATTTTCATTGGGTATTATAACTTTCTTAATAACTTCATAATATGTGTTTCCCTCCAACAAAATTAAAACTGCAGAGTTATTCTCATTTCAATTTTGCATGGTACCATTGAAGTTCAGGTACTGATGTTATGTGTAAAGTAAAGCTATCCCTGTACAGGCCGTGAAGGCCCATAGGGTTGTGAGACGTTGAGGGTCCCACACTATCCAGACAATCAGCTCAGAGATGGTGGTAAGGTTGTGAGCCTTACGCGCCAGCCGCGCTTTACTCCCCAGGAAAATTATTTAATTCATTCGTGGTAATCATTTCTGTTAGAGGCTGAGTAAACCCCAGGGTCTAGTGGGGCTGAAAGGATTAGGTCAACTGGAAAAAATCCAATCCTCATCGGGATTTGAACCCGTGACCTTCCAACTTGTAGCATAACACCTCAACCAACTACGCTACTGTGTGCCCCGATGTTATGTGTACTTTTTAATAATTGTAATAAGAGCAGCAGTAGGATTAAGAATAACACATAAATCAGAAATAAAGAATATGCTTTTTTTTTCAAAATGTAAAGAAAGGTGAGGGTCATTTCATATAAAGAAAAAGTAATTAATATTAGTGTGTTTAAATAATTTATACTATTCTTCATAAGAATTAATTTTGAGTTAACATAATAATAACTAAATTAACATATGAACAGCTTAATATTTCAATCATAGTATAATCATGTAGGTAGAATCATTAATACTTTCTACAATTTTTTAGATTTTTTGATTATTTTGGTAATTCTCTGCTGTCCAAACAAACTATGGTAGTAATATTTAATTTAATAATGACTAATAAAATTCGTGACATACATGTAATTTTGCATCCAGATGTCTGCTGTCTAAAAACATAAAAACTAGAATATACAAAACTATAAATTTGTCTGTGGTTCTGTATGGGTGTGAATCTTGGTCTTTGGCCTTAAGGGAACATGGACTGAGGGTGTTTGAGAACAGGGTGCTGAGGTGAATATTTGGATCAAAGAGAGATGAAATCACTATAGGTTATAGAAAACTACATAATGAGGAGCTTCGTAACTTGTAATCTTCTCCAAGTATAATTAGAATGACCAAGTCAAGGAGGATGGGATTGGCAGAGCATGTAGCACGAATGGGGGAGAAGAGTATTTCATATAGGATATTGGCGGGAAAGCCAGAAGGAAGGAGACCATTGGGAAGACCAAGACATAGGTGGGTGGACTATAATAAAATGGATCTTAGAGAGATAGGATGGGATGGTATGGATTGAATTGATCTGGCTCAGGATAGGGACCAATGGAGAGCTTTGTGAACATGGTAATGAATCTTCTGGTAGTTCTTGAGTAGCTGCACAAATGGTGGCTTCTCAATAAGGTCTCAGCTCCATGAGTGCGTGAGATGCCCTCAGCTGAGACGTCAGCTGTCCTGACTAAGGATTTTCACGATTTTCCCCAGTCCCTCCAGGATAATTCTGGAGTAGTGCACCGATTAGGTCACAGTCACCTCCTTCAGAATCCTTTTCCAGTTCACCAGTTGATCTACCATTCATGCTAACATAGTCATATACACCAAGAGCAAAATAGAATAGATCATAAACAAATAAATTTATAATTAAGTAGGATTCTGAATATCAGTGGGAGGTGTTTTGTAACATATTGCCATACATCCTTTTAAAAAACAGTTTTGGAGTTTATTATATAAAATAATTTAGATAGGAAGTAGATAACAGAACCAAAACAAATATTTGTTCCACTTACTAAATTGTTCCTGACAAGTAGAACAGGCATTTTTGTCTTATCTTTACTTTTGTTATCTGGGAATTAACATGAAGATACTATTTTGTAAGTATAAGTAAAGAAACATGTTAATGATATGTGACATAATGTTATTTTAAAATGTTTTGTCTCTGTTACATTGAGATAATGAAATGAGTTTAGCATTACTGATAATGGAATAAACTATGCAGAAGTGATATACAAATATAGTACAACTCTTTCATCGCTGCCTTTTCATAAATTAATGACATAAATTTAAAATAGAACCATTTTATCAATTTTCTTTATTTGCAATGGCCCTTAAAGTTTAATTGGTGAAGTTTTAGAAATGTAGAGATTGAGTAAGGATGGGAACAACTTGAGCAGTCCATTCATACAGAAAACATCTTAGAGTAGTATGATGAGTAAATCTGATTATTGTTCAACTGTTTATGTTCTACTAACAACTGTGTGATTTGACTATCCCATTTGTTTCATCTGTGCACAATATCTGTAGTTCCATAAGTTGAGCGCCAGACATGTGCTTTTAAAAATGAACCAAAATGTAATTTATTGTAATAAATCCACTCCACTTGGAATTACTGGAATTTTGGACCTTTTCCATCGTCTGGTATTCTAGAAAATAGAAAACACTGCATTTTGGAAACTTGAACGCTTTAGAATCTACAAATCCACTTGCAGTGATAGACTTTTTTATGTGTATATAATGAAATTTTCTTTGAGTAGTTAGCTACAGGTTTCCTCCATTGAAGTACTGAATAGAGATGATGAAAATATTAACCATCAGTATTAAATTAAAATATCAAAAAGAAAAGTTCCCTGTATTTTTGTTTTGATAATCTCAATCACACTTTAGAAACAACATATCCTGCAGAGTGAAACTGTCTAAGGTGACCTTTAGGAATCTAGAGGTTAAAGTAATATTCTTGGCAGATGAGTTTTTTTTAGCATAAATGTTTATCCGTACTGAATGAGAAATTGTGGCAGAACCATTTCTTGAAAAGAACCATGAAGCAAAATGTTGTCTTGCTTCTTATCAAGGGAACTTAAAAGTATTCCAGAAATTTGATCACATCTATGATGATGAAAAATGTCATTGCAAAATACATGAGAACAAAGAAATGGGACCATTGCAATTACATGCCCTTTGATGACAGAGTAATTTATCTGTGCAGGTGATGATCCTCCATATTACTACTCTTATTACCACATCAAGTATATTATAGACTCTGAATCTCATTGTTCAGAGACAGTACTATACAGACATAGAGAGGGCTGAATGAAGGTGTTTTTGAGTTAAACAGTTCAACATTTCCACTTCAAATCCTCTAATTTCATGAGGGCTTGCATTTTATATGGTTTTGGAACTGTTATAAATATTTCCTGCCTGAATTTATTCATTACATTTCAGTTTTATTTATAATTTTAAGAAAACCATTGACATAGGATACAGCTTATATTCATATCTGAAAGCACTGTAAATATTTCAACTAAGTTCTTTCATACTCTCACACAGTACAGATACAATTTATAAAAGAAAGCAAACTAAAATATATTCTGCTAAAATCACATATGTTAATCTAGAGAATACAATGTATGTTGTCATAGGGAGTATCTCAGCTCTCTTCTAAATTGTCTAATTCTTTCCTGCTTCCCAAATTTTATTTGGTAATTTATTGTTTGTTTTTATTCCCATACTGGTTACACCTTACCAAAAATTTGTTCTACAAAACTGAACACACATGTTCAAGTTTGGTGTGTGTTATGATGATGAATTGCTGTGTTTTATTCCAGTTGCTATGTCAGTAGTTTTATATGGTACATTATTTCAAATATGTACACACAAGGCACTGGAAGTGTATTTAAATCCTTATAAAGTTTCCTACATGACTGATTAATTGCATAATCCATTTTCATAATTTGAGAATATTTTTACTTTTTGAATCACCACCCCAGAAAATTAAACCATACTTCAAATGAGAATGAAAATATACAAATTAAGCACTCCCTATAACATGCAGGTTCAATACATCATAAGTTTGCCAGTTTTGTAAATTAACGTTTCATGTTTTTTAATTACATAAGAGAAATGCTCCTTATCACATTTGTTACTGCACAATGAAAAATAAAATTTAACATCGCTATAAAATAGCTGAGTTTTAAGGTTCAGTTTTTTTTATGCAGAAAATAGAAAGCCCTAATATTATGTATCTTTAATAGATGTAATGGCACTGCATCTTTGCACTCTGTGTTTTTCATATTTCACTCGTCTGTGTTGATTGAAGTTTCAAAACCACAGTTTATTGCTCGAACACTGCATCCTGTCTAATCTCCTTGAAAACTGACTGCACTTATCTGCCAGTTGTTATACTAAACATCATGTTGCAGATGATGCAACTTCCAGGGGTTGTATCAACAGATATATTAGGGACTTATCACTAAACTCATGGGAAAAGTTTTTGGTTACATTTCAAGCATCTGATGCTTCTCAGTTCAGTCTGACTGGAGAATGATTTTATACAGTCAGTCTGTAGAAAGATAAAATGCACTTGTTTCATCTCCATTGCCTGCCCAAGCATGTGCTAATTCATTTGTATTCATAGTAACAGTGTAAATAAAATAAAACTAAACCATTCATATAATCCATTCTGTTACAGCAATAAAATTGTCTAAAGTAGTGAAATAAGAAATGTATATGATATTATGAATTTTATAGTTATAATTTGTTATTTTTTATAACTTGTAGGAATACAAAAGTTCT